TCAAAACGTTTCCAACACAAGCAACCATAGCTTCAGACCAGCTTTTAGACATAATAATTGGACTCGCACGCTTCACTTGAGCATCCTCTTGAGCTTTTTGCCTTCCTTTTTTCTTCCTTATCTTCCAATTTCCCACCCTCTCAAGGACTGAGAAAACCCTAACCCCTTTTTTGCTCTCGTTCTTCATTTGTCCCCCTTCTGCCTATTAAGATTTTTTTTTTAAATGGTTTACAAAGGCTTACTTTGAATCAATTTATCTATAGATAACATAAGATGGATATAATTTTTGCATTAAACCAAAGTGTGGCTAGTGCCTACTATTTTGGTGTAATTTTTTTTGGCATTCAAAAAGATTGGGTTGACTTCAAATATGTATGGATATTTTGCTCTCTATATTGATTCGGGATGCATATACAAGGTCTTCAACTTAATCAAAAATTTCACAACTGCACAAATGGGTGACTCTGTGGTTAGCCAGCAGAAAGATACAAAATGGGTTTTCCGAGTTCAACTCCAAGAGATCAATTTCTCTTGAAGCTAATGAATTACATACATGGCTAGATGATATACAAAAGGTGTGCACCTTGATTTGTATGCAAACCCTTGATTATTTTTATGTTCTAGAGGCCCTCCTTGGGTTTTCATCAAAATTGCTAAACGAGTGAGTTCACATTTGGGTTTTGTTGGTTTCTTCTTCTTTATCTGTTCCACACTTTTTATTAATTGATAAATTAGCAGAGTGGAAAGATGTATAAAATAAAAACGTATGTATGCAGACTTGTGCCCACAACAAAGCAACATAGATAATACAAATAGTGACAAAAAAAAAAGAAGGTATGATAGCATATATGAGAACAAGCATGTAAAGAGATAATAACCATCAAGAAGATGAGAAGCAGTAACCTTGTTTATCTTCTCAAGTGTCTGTTCATCTTCTCCCAAAACAAAACCAACGTGAGAATCAGATATAATAGGGTGAGATTTTTTATGGGGTTTGGTATTTATATCACCCATTCAAAAGTCTCACCCATTCAAAAGTCTCACACAATACATCATTTAATGAAATACCTCAAAATCAGTAAGTTTTTTAATACCATCGTACTTTTTCTTATCTTTGAAAAGTTCTAATTGAATACCACCAGACATGTGTTGATGATTTTAAAATCCTAATTGAATACCATCAGATTTTTATTGATTACTTAAAAATCATAATTGAATACCACTAGACTTTTAAGTTTAAAAAAAATCTATTAAAATCCTAATTGAATAAACACCCTGCCCCCTTTAAATAATCTAAAAAGTTGGTATTCCATTAAGACTATTAGGAGTTTTTAAAGAGGGTGTCCAAATCTAGCGGTATTCAATCAAGACTTTAAACAAGTAACAAAAAGCCTTTTGGTATTAAAAAACTTGCTAATTTCGAAGGATTTTTTTTAAATGTGGAATTTGTGTGACTTTTTAGTGGGGAGTATAAATACAAACCCTATCTCGAATCTCACCCTAACCTATTAGACTTTTCACGTGAGTTTTTTTTTTTTTTTTTTGTCTACTAGAGAAGATGAACAGCTCTTCATGAACAAGGTATTGCTTCCTTCTCATGCATGTCTTCTTGTGTATATGGTCTGTCTATTTGCTATATGCCATGTTTGTATATGCTTTGTCTTCTTGCGTATATGGTCCTTCTCATGTTGTCTTCTCTCAATGGCCCTTCACAACAGTGGTTTGTATATGGTCTGTGTCTATGGCCCTTCACTTCATATCTCCTACTATTAGCAGCTCTGCATATTTATCAAAGATATTGGACTTAAGCAAAACCCAAAGAACACCAAAAATGACACCATATATATTGTCATGTGTTTTTCTATTCATTTCCAAACAATTATCAACCCAATTATATTGCCATACCTCCAAACAATTATCAACCCAATTATATTGTCATGTGTTTTTCTATTCTTTTCCCACGTTTTTTGTTAGAAAAAAGAGTTATGGTTGAAATTTGAAAAGACATTATTTTATGATCTATCTGTTAAGTCACCCTAATGTTTATCTACGCAAGACATTTGATTATTCTTTTAAGCTTCTAGCTTTATTGTGAATAAGAAGTTTCTGAATTTTTGTAATTAGAGTCAGAGATGAGTTCTTTTTTAATTACAGGGTGGTGGTGGTGGTTTTGTTTTCGTTTTTCCTATTACTGGGTTTGCAGAAGGGTAAATGGGGTGGGTGCCTTTAAAAAATATATATATATACACCAATTGTTCTTTGAATGAGGTTTTAAAAACTGATTTACCAAGCATCATGGGCTGATGATCATCTCCTTTACTGTTTCAATGGCAGAGACTTCGAGAAGCTCGTATTACTTGTTGGACATTGCTTAGGATCACTTACTATCATTGCAATTTGTAAGTACAATCAATTACAAATCGTTTTATTTGGTAGTTTCCTAGTTATTTTATACTTTGTGATTCAATAAATAGAATTTCAAATCTCCTATAGCGTTTGATAATTTCTTTGGCTTCTTTTATTAGGTAAATATTGTATATATAATTAGGTAAATATTTCATAGTGGATTCTAGATTTCCTAATCAACATCAATTTTTAGCTCCATTTCGAGGTGTGCGATATCATCTACAAGATATTGCAGGTCATGTTAATGACCCTCAAAATGAAAATGAATTGTTCAATCTTCGCCATGCGTCCTTGAGGAATGTGATTGAGAAGATATTTGGCATTTTTAAATGGCGGTTCACAATTTTTAAGTCAGCACCTCCATTTCCATTTAAGACACAAGCAGAGCTTGTGTTAGCATGTGTAGCACTACATAACTTTCTTTGCAAAGAATGTCGTTCTGATGAATTTCCAATTGAACCAATAGACGATTCTTCATCTTCAGTATTACCAGTTAATGAAGAAGATAATTTTGAACTTATTGTTCAAACCCAAGAGCAGCAACAAGAAGATGCTAATGCATGGAGGGCTAGCATAGCTTTAGATATATGAAGAAATATTACTTAAGAGGACATGAAGCTACATCAAATTGGCTATTAAAAGATTGGGAAAATTGTATTGGCTTTTACTTTTCTTTATTAAAATTGGTTATCTTTTTCATTGACTTGTAACTTTGAATGTTTGCTTTTATTTATGGTTCCATTCCATCTAATCCCATTGCCATTATTGCTGATGCAGGTGTACACAGCTTGAACCAATTGACTTTCATTGGCTTTTTATTTATTTAAGCAACCTAGTAACTTTATACCTGTCATACAACATTTTGGAAGGACAACTTCCAGCGTTAATTTTTTTTTTTTTTGTTGGAGCAAATGCTTCTATAACCATGTTTTAAAATTAAAAACTTGTTTAGTATGCAATTTGAAAACAATTTTTTTTTATTTTTAAAAAAACAGTTTTTATTTATTTATTTGTTTTCAAGTATTTGAGTATTTTTTAGTTTAGATTTTCAAAAATAGCCTACCAAACAAATTTTTTGAGCTTTAAACTTAAACTAGCCTCTTTGCACACACTTTCGCGCCTGCAAGAGGCATTCTTTTAAAATTTTAAAATTTATCTTAGAATTTTAAAAGATAATGGGTAGTTATGTTCCATAAAAAGAGGATCCATTATCTAATTTTTCTTTTAATTTAAAATTTTTTAAATATGAAAAAATGCGAATTTACCATATTATCCTCATTTAATTAATAATTTCAATTCTTAATGTTTGCATTAACCAATGGCATTTTCTGGTATTTTGAATGTTTCACCATTCTCTGCCTTTTGCTTTATATCTATATTCTCTGCCTTTTGCTTTATATATATAGATATATAAAGCAAAAGGCAGAGAATGGTGAAACATTCAAAATTCCAGAAAATGCCCTTGGTTAATGCAAACATTAAGAATTGAAATTATTAATTAAATGAGGATAATATGGTAAATTCACACTTTTTCATATTTTAAAAAATTAAAATTAAAAGAAAAATCAGATAAT